CAGACTGCGGCTGAGTCAGACGTGATTGAACTAGTTAGATTAACACTTCCCACGCGAGCTCTCGAGCGCAGGGAGCTTCCACTGTGGGGGGGAGAGCTCTGAGGACGTGGGGCAAGTATTATTAAAACCTGCAGTGAATCACAGACAATGATTCCTGAAGGTGGGAGAACAGAGAGCCTGCCTGGTCCAGGGAAGAGTCCCTTGAAGGTGGCCTTGCAGACCTCTGTGTTGCTGAGCTTGTGCTTCCTGTTTGTTAAAGGTGACTTTGGGCTCTGACTTCTGGCTGTGACCCTGGGGTTGTCTTTAACCAGGTCCTCAGGTGCTGCGCCATCATCATCTGCCAATGGGCAGCAGCATTCTCCATCGAGATTCACCATGTCTATGTAAATAACTGGGGCTAAGGAACACACCGTGGAGTAACGCAGTGGTGCTTGCTGTGAGTGTGTGCAGTGATTTGCAGCCCTTGGTGATGGAGGTCCCATCTTTGGTGCGTGTCTTGTGCCGTTCCCAGGCTCTCGGGGTGAATGCTGAGCACGTGGCAAAGTGTTTTGCTGAGTCTGAGGCTTAATGAGGTGCCATGTTGGGAGCAGAGTTGTGCTCCAGACCGGAGCTCGTGCTGCAGAGTACCTTTAATGTGAAGTGACACTTGTCAAAATAAATGAGCGAGATTTTTATTGCATGTGCACTCGCTTGTAAAATCCGCTGGTCTGCAGTGGCTCTTAATCATTTATGGGAATTAGCCAGGTTCTCCTGCAGTTTAATTACTAGCATGTCATGTTTAAACTCTCCCTTGATGAAGTAATGGCTGCATTACATGCACTGCTCTGTAATGGCTAGTGGGCAGAATAGGAGCACATGTGATGAGTGTGGATGAGGCAGGGTGCTTGATCTGCAGAAGGCTGAGGTGTAGGTGCTGGGTGGGGGCTTGGGTTCACCACCACCAACTGTCCACATTGCATTTAGGGCTGGGATATGTCCTGGGGCAGGATGTGTTTTGCCCTTCCCCAGGAATCGTGTGTTGGTGTGACCAAGGGGCAGATTGAGCTGGCTCTTCCCTTCTGCATCGGCATCCCTTGTGTTGCTGGCCTTGTGCTCTTCCTTCTGCTGATGCTGTGCTGGTTGATGCGGTGGTTTCTTGGTGTTCATTCCGTATTCACAGCTGGTTTTGTAGCCAGGTTTAATTACTTTGATAAGCAAAAGCAGGAACATATTGTGTTGTTTCCCTTGTCTTTGTCCTGGGGGTTAATGAGGAAACAGAGGAGTGACCAAAGATGCAGACTTTGGGAAGGAGTTTTTCTTTCCATGCTGTTACTTCCAGCCTTTGTGAGGGTGCTTCCAGGCTGGGTCTGTCATGGAGTTTGCACACTAATTGTTTCACAGGGTTCTCAGAAGATGACTGAGTGGTTAAACAGAATGGCAGGTGGAGCAATAGATAACAGTAAACTGAGATTTGCTGCAAGAGCCGTACTCCTACAGGCTGTCTGGAATTCAGGGTGCCTCTGCTCATAGCTGCAGCTAAACACAACAGGGATGGCTGTGCCAGAGCGCTCCAGTTGGAAACCTGGTCTGTTGGGAAAGAGCTTGTAGGCAGCTGCACGCTCATCCTTGTGGGGAGCGGGAATTGCACCCCCTTGTCTAGGATGAAATTCCTGATTGCTGAGGAGCCGGGTAACTGAGTCACGATGCATGTTGTCAAGGAGACAAATAAAGCCTGTTGAACTGTGCGGAATCCTATTGGAGGAGCTGGCACGTTTCCCCTTGGTTTGAGAAGTACTCTGAGGCAGCGAGGTTTTCCAGATGTTCTGTGCAGCTGTTGCCTTCACAATATAGCTTTCAGAATTGCATACCTGAGTACAAGGCGGCAAACTCATCCTCCTGTCTCCTCTGTGCCTTGAGGATGCTGTTTGCTAAGTAGCCACACTTGGTAATGAGTAGGTAAGAGGAGACAAGATGTGCTGGCTTATAATTGGGAAGCAAATAACGCTTAAGAAGTGAGAAACTTGAAGATGTTTTCCATATGGAATAATACAGAATCAGCCTTTCAAATGCAAGGATCGCCTGTCTGCTTTTGGAGGGGATTAAGGGGGGTGTCTCTAAAGCACCAGGAGTTCTACCAAATAAGTCTCATTGTCACCACCAAGGGAATTGGGCTGAGCTTCCAGCGTTAATTTCCTGCTTTTCCCTTGAGGTGTTTTTTTACCTGCAGCCGAGGGGATGTGGGAGTATTGAGGATGTGGCTGCATGGACACTGCTGTGGCGCTTCCCGCTGTCCTGAGCCTGATTTCCACAACGTTGCTGTTGGAATTCCCACGCTGGAGCAGGTTTTGCTGCTCGGAAGCCAAGGAGAGCACACTGGGGAAGCAGCCGAGTGCCTCCTGACATGGGGCTGCGAAGGATCCAGATGTGTGCCCATCAGCGCCTCTGCTCAGATCAGAGGTGACAAATTATTGATAATTAGCACTGCTTTTTGTTTCTAAAAGCCGGTTTGGTTTTATCTTTGGCCTCAGGAGCTCCAAAGCAGTTTGTACTTACTCTTAATTGCTTGTTTTATGGGTGAGAATTAAGCTGTAATGTAAACGGCAGCGCGAGGAGGCAGGGGCAGAACCGCTGTGGTGTTGGAGCAGCACAGAGAGAAATGGGCACCGAGGTCGTCCGGCACTTACAAATTCCAGTGTTTATCAAGTTTAACCATGCAACCATTTGCAAGCATTCTATAACTAAATATAGTAATGAAATTTTATTTGAAGTCAGGAACGTTACCCAGGTCTGCCTTGATGTGTGCAAGATACTGCACATCAACAGAGTGGTACAGATTGTGTTAAATGGGCCTGAAATAATCTTCAGGAAAGAAAATCGTTTTCTATTCTTCTTGCCACAAAGTGTTTGTCACAGATATGCATTCTTATCCACATCTTGTTAGTAAAATCATTATACTTTTCATTACAACTTTTATGCAAATACGCCTGTTTTCCTTTATTAGCCTTACATGAATAAGCTGTAATTATAGGCTGAGGTGATATTAATGTGCAACAATTAAATATGTAATTACTGTGTGTAATTACTGCTTGAGGGATGTGTGGAGCAGCGTGCGCACACGCTGACGTGGGGCTCGTGGTGCTGGTGTGTGGAAGGGGGGGATGAACCCCGCTCCAAGGGCAGCACGGGCCGGTCGCTCGTGGCTCTCTGTGCAGGAGATCTGCTTTTCTCTTAGCCTGTTGTCACTCTGATGCTGTGAGGATCATTTGGCTTTAGCTCCCTGCCATTGAAGCGGAAGCCAGGCAGCAAGATTGCCTCGGGGGGGTGTCTTGAAGAGGGATGCAGGTGAAGCAGGAATGTTTCTGTGCTGGAACAGGGGCTTGAGGACGTGTGATTCAGGTTGTGCTGGATGCACGTGTCCTTTCTTACCTTGACTGAAGGCAGCAGCTTCTGTTCCGGGCTAGCTTTGGTTTGCTATCCAGTGGGATGGCTTTCAGTTGTCCTACTTGAGTCCCTCCTCTTGGCCACGGCAGCACACGTAGCCTTTGAAGTGGGATATTTAAGGAAACGTTTTTCCAGGCAGCTTATTGTATCTCTTTTAATTTCTGTTAATCTCTTTGTGCACATGGCTCATAACGTTGAAGCAGTGGGAATTCTTCCTCTGTGTGACACACTTTGCTGCCTTTGCAGTCAGTGCTGCAGAAGGAACACCAAAAACCAACCCCAAACCAAAAGGACCTCAAGGTACCTGCCAAGGCTGTCTGCTTGGCCAAGGGTCCAGCGAGCTTTTCCAGTGGATGAGGAGGCAGTGAGGCATTTTCTGACACAGAGGGTATCAGTCTTGCTCTGGGAGCCTTCCAGAGGGTTTGTTACTGTTCATAGAGTCCCTGTGGTGGAGGAGGGTTTCTGTATCACCAGCCATGGAACTGTGCTTTTAGGAGGGACTGTGAGTAATGAAGAGATAGGTTGGCAAAGGTGTGTGTTTAAACAGCTTTGCTGTTTTCACAGTAATCTTGTTCAAGAGTTCCCAGAGCTGTAATTCCCTTATCTTTGGATTTGGGTGAGGTTTTGCTGGCTGACAGGGCAGCGAGGCCTCATCCAGTGACTGCTCATTGGGCTCAGGCTCTCCTTGCTGCCTGCTGATCTGCATCCCAGGGCTTGTGCCCTGCTGGGGTTCCCGTGCTCCTTATCTCCGGCTCGGAGAAGGAGTTCTTGTGCCAGCAAGAGTTGTTTGAAGAATTAAACTTGACCCGTTTCCTTCGGGCAGGGAGCAGTTAATGCTCCACAGTGCTGACATCACAGGAGCGATTTGAGAAGTATTACTCGTCAAATCCCTTTGCTGATGCAGATGTAGGTATAAATAAAAGACCTCAAAAGTTGTTGCAGTATTCATTAATCTCGCCTTGCCTGCGGGGGCTTAATGGGGCTGCAAAAGCTTGGTAAAGGCTGTAAATAGTTGCTGCATATGTCCTAATTTTGTGTTTTCCCTTTCCTTTGCTTTCCTTAGGTAAGTGAATACATTGAGGCGCGTAACGTGAGTGGTGGTGAGCGTGGGGAGCTGCCAAGTGTGGATGCTGGGAACCATCAGCCCCGAGCTGCTTCATGCGTGAGTGTGGGAGCGATGGCCCCTGCGAGCTGCAGCGTGGTGATGGGGGGGTAACAGTGGAGATGGCCTCAGGTGCTCTGGACACTGGGGCTGCAGCCTTTCCACTCTCCAGCAGAGCACCCATAACCTCCAATGGGCTGGTGCTGTTACAAAAGCCTGTCCAGAATGTGCTTCAGCATCACTGGGATTGTCCCGTTTGGGCGAGGAGAGGAGCATTTGGAGCATGTCCTCTCCTGGCCCTGTACTGCAAAGCCAGCAGCCTTCCCCATCTTGTTGGTTTTGGTTCTGATTTCCTGTGGTATATTTAGGAGTGCTACTCTTCAGTGAGTAATTCTCAAGTACAGCTTGATTCCTTGTTTTGGGAGTGCTCTCCCGCTCTGTGCTGGGGGGGGAGCACAAGGAGGTGGGACGTGGAAGGTTTGTTTGGACTGTTTAAGATATGCTTAACATAGAATTAAACTCAGAGGAGCGCCTGGAGAAAATATGATCGCTCTGATCAGATTCACTGCATCCTTTTTGTCTTCTCTAATAAGCAAGAAGAGCTGGTAGAGGGAATCGTGGGCTGGGAGAGGAATTTTAGCAGCAACAGATGCGCAAAGAGGGAAGTGTCTTCAGGGAATAAAGGACGCAGGCTGGCAAATGATGGATCATTTCCATGCTCCAAGGACACAACCTTTCACTTCCTTGAGTTCAGCTACTCAGGAGGGGGTGCTGCATTTTAGGGGGTGCAGTCACAGCTGGCCACTGCAATGCAGAGGTGAGCATCCTCCTTCTCTAGGGCGGGGGCCTCTTGCAGGGAAATACATGCACCTTGTGGAGGATGATGGATGCTTTTGGGATCTTTCTGTGTAAGAATCCAGTTAAATAATGCAGAATTTGGTTGTGGATGCCACTCAGGGTCACTTATTTGCAACTAATTCCAGTTAAAGCAGAAAGCTTGGTCCATTTCCTAAAAAAGAAAGTATTAAAAGCTTTAATGTGTGTCAGTCAGAACTTACAGTCTAAGCTGGGCAGGCTGGTCCAAATGTGCCAGCAGCATTCCTGATGGACTCATTTCTTCTTCGCTGGGAACTGAGGAGTGCTGGTGCCTGACTTGCTTTGGGCGGGCTCCGTGCTCTAGTGAAGCAGGAGCAGGGAGCATTGGTGGGCATGAGGCATGAGCCAGGCGCAGGGGATGCCTGGTGGGAAGGAGAAGGGGAAAACAGGGCCGGGAGCAGGATAAAGCAGTGCTCCAAGCTGGACCCGTTAGTCAGAAGTACTCGTTTGATGTTCTAGAATCCCACCTTTGAGCAGTTGTATTCAAGCGCCGAGATAAATGCATCAATCTAAATTCATGATTGTGAGGGTTTTCATGCAGTGGCTAATTACTGAACGTAAGTACCTTATTCAGAATTCCCCTTCTCCGCCTGCGCGATAGCCATAATCCTGTATTTGTGCGGCTGTCATTCCCATGGTAACAGACGAGTGTCTGGAGCAGGAGATGATTAAATACAGAAAAGTACATTAAAATAATGTTAAGGCTCCGACTCGGAGATTTTCACATGGAGGCAAACTTCAAAAAAAGCGACCATTTGTACCAAAAGCAATTTACTCAGCAGTGATGTTCCCTATTCCCAGCGCTGTCACCGAAGGGATGGGTTGGAGTAGCAGCCGCTCCCTCGCAGCCCATCTCCCGCTCCTCCTGCCTTGGATAAATCCTAATCTGATGTTTGTGTCATCAGTCTGTTGCCATGGAAACCTTGTCACCAGCATATCGTGACCTCACCGCGGGACGGCGGGGGAGGAGAATGTGGGCTGAAAGACGGTGTTAGAAATGATGATCAAAAGAAGGAAAACAGCCCCGAGCCTTAGTAGGTGTCACAGTGGGAGAGCAGGAGGCGGCGGGGCCGCAGCGGAGGTACCGAGAGCCGGTGGATGTCCATATGCGACCACGCTGCTCCATCTCCTCCTCTTGGTTTGCTTCAAGCCCTGCTGAAGCCCTGACCTTGTTGTCCGCCCCATTGGGGTCCCAGCAGTGCCGCCAGCAGAGGAGCAGCTCACTCCCTCCAGCCTGCACCTTGGGTAGTGGGGTTGGTGCAGGATGCTCGTGCTGCCCATCCGTAGCATCAGGTGTTTGTCATCCGGGCGCCTGCCATCTCTGTGCCCCATGGCACGTGTGGAAGAGGGTGAAACAACAGCTCTGGTTTTGCTGCAGCGCTGTGTCTCTGTAGAAGGGGAGGGAATTGATGGTGATCTGGAATGCCAGATTTCAAGATGATGCTTTTTTATGCATTCTAAGAAATCAGGGTTTCATTAATGAAAGCCGCAGCTGAAATTTCAAAGGGGATTAAGCAAGGATTAATAAAGGAGAGGTAGTGAAGAGCTTTGATTACCTGTCATGGAGATGGCTGAACAATGTGCCATGGTGATGAGATGACGCAGAGGATTCTTGCCTATCTGGGGTATTGACTGGTAAATGTTACAGCTTAGGATGCTTTTTGCTTGTTTGTGCTGACAACAGATTGATGCAATGCATTTGACCAAGCGAGGAATTTCCCATAAGTGCTGCTGCTCCTTCCATTGGCTCAGGGCAGGTGGGGAGTGTTTTGCTGTAGGGTAAAATGCCGCATCCACTGGATTGCTGCTTTCTGACCCCTTTCAGAGCTGTCGGTCAAGGCGTGCTGGTGGGGGTTTGGTATTTGTCAAAGGATGGCTGCAGCACTGAGGACCGGCCTCTGAAGGGAGGTTCTCATTCCCATCCCAGTGCTGTGTGTGGTGGAGGCTGAGCCCGTGGGGAATGGCTGCAATTGATCTGCAGGAGTGGGACTTGGAGCAGGTGCTTGTGTCGTGCCGCCTTTGAGCTCAGCCACTTCCCAAACATCAATCCTGTAGCAAGCCAAGACGATAAAATAGCAGAGCGCATACAGAAAGTTGCTGTTCAAATGTTATCTCTGTTTGCAGGTGCTTAAAGCAATGAAGCCACATAAAGAAAGTGTGGTTGTCTGCATATTTCATGTATTTTTAATGCAATCCTTTGTAGTACTAATAAGATCTTGGCACAGCTTGAACCTCAATGAGTGCTCATTGCCGTAGTGACGTCCTGATGGAGGTGTGTGCTTGACACAGCGAGTCTGCACCTTGGCTCATCGCCTTGCCCCTCGGGATGGTTCACTGGGATATAGAAGGCGGGTGGCAAGGGTCCCATTTGGAGCTGGGCAGCCTGCAGCAGGGCAGGGTTTCTAAAGAGCTTAAGCATCATTTCCCCCTTGCAGTTGGTAATGCTGGAAGAGATGAGTAAATACAGATCTCTGCAGTCCATGAACTGTAAAGTCCTGCCTACAACTTCAGCTTTCCCGTCTTTATTTGTGTAGTTATGGCTTTTCACATGTGTTAGGTCTTAACAAACAAGAGTTTTCCCTCTGGAGAGAGATGCTATAAGGAAAAGTATTGTTCTTGGAGCATCTTGTCTCATGCTTAGCCTTAAGAGATGTGCAACTTCAAAGGACACATAGCAGTAGGCCTGCTAGGCTCTTTCTGCTCTTCCTTTGTTCCATGTGCAATGTGTGCTGTCTAGGTTTGTGTTAGACTACAGCCTGCAGTGGCTTTACAAGGCAGCTGTGTAAAGTTAGAGTAGTGCCATAATGCTTTCTGCAGGGGTTTGGATGCTTCTTCCCACAGCTGCTGCCAAGGGCTCCCCTGTTTGGAAGTCTTTTCCCTTGTTGCTCTGAGATGCCTTCACTGTGCACTGCAGACAGGGAAGTGATGGAGGTAGGAGCAGAATCCCCTTTGCAAGTAGGGCAGCCTCGCTCTGCCGGGATTGTGTAAGTGCAGCCTTCCCTCGCCCTCCTGCGCACCCCTGCCTCCTGCGGGATTTATAACCGAGTTCCTGCAGTTCTATATTTGGCTGATACATTGAAATCCGCATTCGCTGACATATATAATATAAAGGGAAGTAGATTTATGGGAAGAGGAGCTGTGGCATGGCAAGCACCCTTGGTCGCTGCTCTTTTAGGCAGCCCACTCCTACCCTGTGTCCGAGCTGGGTGCGCTGTTCAGGAACAGGACTGGGAGCTGTGTGTGCACCTTGGATGTGCAGCTCCTGGGGGACAGCCTGCAGGCCTGGGGTTGCAGTTACACAAAGCACGGAGTAGTGGAGCCTGGAGATGCCACCTTTGCTCAGTGTCATCTGGCTCCCAGAACAAAGGAGCTGTAGGTAAAAACCCTTCTAGAAAGAAGGGCTGTGAAAGCACCGAGGTTGGCAGCAGAGCCCTTAATCTGAATTCATTGTGGAGGGTTTCACAGACAGATCACTTCCCATTTTTTGCTTGCAGAACAGGAATTCAGTGGAAAACGTCTTTATTTTTGTTCTTTTTGATGAATTGTCTGAATTCTGTGTCTAATTGTGCTCAATTATTGCAGCCCAGCGCAGATAGGTAATAGTTTCTAGGCAGTGATGTGCATTGATTTCTTTCAGAGGCCTTGAGACAATAGTCAATTTACGAAGAGGAGTAACTTTGGTTTACTGTCAGTTGCAGGGGGGTTGCGTTGCTGCTGCTGTGTTATTGGGAGCCTTTAGATTGATTCAATTTGAAAGTGAATGAGAAATGAGCGTGTTCTCGTGTGGACAAGTTTCAACTAAATTATTAAATGAAGTGGTTGATTCTTCCAGCTGAATTAAACCAGTAGAAAAACTATAATTAACTACTTCATTGACTGGGGAGAGGCTGCAAAATGGATGGGAGAAATTGAGTTCATAGATTTTTCTTCCCTGTACCATGGAAGTGAGGATGAGCTTTTGGGGGATGAGGGAGAAGCACGGCTGGTCTGCTTTGTTCCCAGAATAAAAGCGCTTTCATTTCATTCTTGCAGCTCTCTCTCGCTTTGCTTCTTGCCTTAGCTGGGCTCTCTTGGTACCTCTTGTTGGCTTTTCTTCAGGAGGAGAGGTGCAGTGAGCAGTCCATCTGAGGATCGGGCGTTTGTCTTTCAAAGCCACTTCCATTTTAGTGTAACCAAGTTCTCCAGGATTATCCCAGCAGGTCTCAAATGTCCATGAAGGTTACTTGGCTCCTGGGATGCCAGCAGATGCTCTGCACTGGGCTCTGCTGCCATGTATGTCAGGGATGGTGGGTAGATGCTTCCTTAGCACAGCTGCTGGTCTTGGTTCAGCATTGGAAGAGGCATCGTGTGTGCTTCGTGCACGGAATGTGGCTGGGATGAACCAGGGATCCCACACTGGATCCATAGGGTGTGGAGCCCTGCCAGGGCTCAGTGCAGGAGTCACTGCGGTCTAATAGCAGGCAGTTTTCGCTGTGGTTCTGCATGCAGAATAGCACATGCTTGTTTGAAAGCTGGGGCCGTGTGGCTCTCTGTAACGCTGCAGGCCAGGGAATGCAGGGTTGTGTTCCCTTAGCAGTGTGCTGCGGCACCCCAGGCCCCTCGAGGCAGCAGAACGTGCGCTTTTCATCAACTCTGTACTTTCCTAATACAGAGTTATAGTAGCCACATAAAAGTGCACTTCTCAGCGCTGTGTGGCAGCAGTAATGGGGTTTATTGGCTCAAATGCAATACGTTTTTGGTATCCAAATACTGCATCTAAACACATAAACCAGTGTTATTACCTGCACTAACTTCATGCTTAATGCTTTATTAGGAACTGCTTGGGCCCCTGTGGGGGATGCTGGATTTCAGTACGAGGCAGGAGGAGAGGTACCATTGGGATTGCCCTGTTTGTGAAGTAAACAGAGAATGTTTCTTTCTTTTTCCCTTCTCCCTCTTAAAGCCAGCCCAGAGCTGAAATCCGTGGAGGTCTGGGCTGGCACCGTGGGTCTGTGAAGCAGGTTCACCTATCTCTGTCTCACATGTCGCAGCTCCTTGAGCCTTATCTATTTTTAACGGCACTGTGCTGTAATAAGTATAGATGATAGCTGACTTGGTAGGAGAGGCCAGAATCCCTGCAAATGCAGGTTTCTGAGAACAGCACTAGGACGCATTTAAGGTGTACTGCTAGGAGAAGGTGAGCTATCCATCAAAGGCACAATCTTGGATTTGAGTCTTCTATTTAGATTAAGCCCGTTAAGAAAGATGGATGGTAAAGCTGTTTCAGCAGCATTGTCCCCAAACCGGAGCGGAATATAAAGACTCTGGAAGAAGGATTCAATTACGCTGGCAAATAGCTCCAACAAGAACTGGGTAGATGGAGCAGTGGGATGCTGGTTCTGCATCTATATAGTTTTAAGGCAAAGCCGTTGCTTTCATTACACCCGCCCATTCACGTAACAGCCCTACAAGCTGCTTGCTTGTTTGGTGTGCTTTGTGGAGAAATACCTGTAAGTTACTTTAGGTAGTGGGTTTTTATGCTACTTTACTCGTTGCATATGATATGTATGCAATAGTTGATATACATGGCACACCTAAATGTTTGTGAAATGCCTTACTGCAGCCTGAATGGGGAGGGTGGTTCTGCTGGTTATGCCCAGAAAGCATCAACAGAAAGAAACAACCTGTGTTCTCAACACGTAAAGAATGTGCTTTAAAGGCTGATGGCAGGAGAGGCAGCCGTGTTACACTGCTTCCTCCCAGAATGGGTCAGTGCCCAAGACAAACATGTATTGGGTGGTATTTGGCTCTGCGCTGCAGCTTCAGTCGAGGTGCGCAGTTATGGCTGTGCTGGCTCTCCAGACATCTCCTTGCTCTTGATGTAACCGCAGTAACTGAAACTTTGTTCTTTTCCTCCCAGTCTAGCACTTGGCAATTAAGGAAGGCACGTGATGCTT